AATTAATCCATTATTCCGTTGCAGCAGAAACCAGCTTGAGCTCAAGCGATGGCTAATGGCTCACGCCATCTCATGCTAGCCTACTCGACATCCGAAACATTAGTGATATGATGAATGTGGTTTCGAATAGTTCTAGATGTTTGGAAACTTGCGGCTCCCTCCTGCGCGCTCGTTGACTCATTTCATCATGTCGCGCCGCCAAAAAATAGTTTGAGCCTGGCGATGGCTTGAGGCTTACGATCCCTTCTGCGAATATACTACTCTTAGATATCTGTAACGATTTCGGTTCCCTCATGCATGCTGTTTGTTGATTTATCATTCCGTTGTGGCATACATCATTTTCAGCCCTGGTGTTTGTGGCCTGTGGTTCCCGTTGTCTTCTGCTACCCTGCGTGGCATCAGGAAGCACGTAGTTATACAATACATATGTTTAATGATATTTCTGGATACCTACACCGACTTCGGCTCTATCGTGCCTCCAGCTGGATGTACTAAGTAATTTTATATCGGCAGGTGTGCATGTTACCTCTCGATATGGCTCATTACTCACGTTATCATCCGAAAGCCATCATCAATACAGGAAAATGACAATTCAGTAAATCGTTCCAGCAGTTCCTTTGTTAACAATACTGTTCCTACGGAGCTGCAAAGTTTACAGGACGAGGCGTCCTAATTTTAATTAGGTTAGAAAAGTTCTGATTTTCAAAACGAATTCCCAAATCTTGCGCCACCTTCGGAACAAAAACGACCCCAGGTCGTCACATTGTCTCTTCTGCCCGGGTCCGCCAACTAGCTCTGCCTTGTCGCCGAATTCCTTTAGTTCTGATCGAGCCAAGAGCTCTACGAGGTACTGGACACCGACGCACCACCGACGGGACACCCCCGGCCCTCGCGCGCGGGGGGGGGGGGGCGGGCGGACAACCGGCTCCGCAGCTCCCAGCTACGGCGGCATCATTCCTCTCTCGCGCCCACGCAGCTTCGCTTCGCCCGCAGGCACGACACGAACACGACACCGAAACCGATTTCCTGGTGGGGGGATTATCCATCCCATTGCGATCTCACTCCCCAACCTCCGACTGTCGATGGGACACCCAGCCTATGATTGGTCCTGTCGTCTGCGTCGTCGTTGGCTGGCGCTCTGAATAAAAGATCCGTTGTCCTCTACCCCTCAGCATTGGAAGAACAAAGGGCTCTCGCCCTAACCCCTAACCAGATACCCAGCGGTTTTACAAAAGTGCATGCGTTCAAGGAGGCGGGGGAGGAGGTGTTGTCCGAAGTGGTGATGGACGGTGAGGTGGGGGTGAGCTGCCAGTTGCGCGAGCGCGTTCTGTCCGAGGGGGTTCAGGCTAGGCGCAGCGGAGAAGCCAAGGACTCTAGGACTCTTCACGGCAACATGTCGCATGTTTGCCGTTTTCCAGTTGGTGAGGGAGCACGGGCTGGGAATTCTTCACCGAGCTGTTTTCGAGTGCCCCGAAACGAAGCGGCAGGCTTTTCAATGCGGGCGAAGGCGTGCGGCTGGACGAGCCCCGTTCCACTCGGGTTGCAGACTCGCTGCGTGGCCCCATGTATCTGCGTGCGTGACGAGGCGGGGCGAGCGCGCTCGGGGCAATAGGCCCGTTCGAACGACCTACAGAACAGTGTGAAGGCAGGAGCATTCTTCCGCCGCCGCCGGTCGTTCGGAGCACATTGCTTTCGTCGATTCGTGCAGGATACCCCCGCGCACCTGGAGTGGCAAAGGTGCGGGCGGGGAGTGTTCGAACGCTACGATCGATGACATGACTCCGTCGCAGGTCAAGGGTTATTTCGCTCGGCTGCGGGCGCGAGTCCCGTCTCTCTCTCTCCAACGAGTGCAGCGCGATTATGGTGAGCGCCCTTGTCCTTCTGTTCAATGTTCCTGGCCGGCAGATCGTCGATGTCGCGATTTTCTAGAAAAGAGATGCGTAATTAGGCTTGTCTACTTGATGTGCGCGCTGCATTTCTCGCGTTTCGCAGTGCCCCGCGTCGCCATTCAACCGACTGGCGCCCTGCACTCCGACGTTCATGTTCTGGGTGTTGTTTTGAGGGGTGCCGCGACTGCTATTTTGTACTGGAGTGTGGCATCGATCTCGGGTTCCCTCTTGACGGGGCCATCTTCGCGTTGACGACGGACCCCGTCCTGAGGAGCATGGGGGATGTTCTTCCTCACCTGTCCTGGCAGTAAGTTGTGCGTTCGCTTTCGACGTTAGCCGAGCATGTTATGGTCTGCGTATATGCTCACAACCCGTCCTGATGTTCGTGACGCTTGCTGCTGGGGCAGCGTTTGTTGTTGCTGTTTGTTTGGTGGTGGTGGTGTGCGGGTGGTTATTTCTTCTTCATCCCTCATGCCAACATCATCAGCGAGTTCAGGGCGCCGGGAGCTCGGGCCCAAAACCTTACGATCGCCGAGTGCGTGCTGTGTTTAGGGATTTGGCTTGGCAGTGGAGCTCTGTGGAAAGTCTTGGTGAAGCCCGCATTGAAGTGTCGGTGGTTGGGAGCTCGCATTAGGACCTCGCGGACGTTCATGGTCGGGAGCGTTGCTGCTTACCACGCGCGTGGGATAATTATCTTATCATGCGCCGTGCAGTTTTTCCTCCCGCCCACCCGCGACTTGGCCGTTCAAAGAAGCGACGGATGCGGTCCAGCCGTTGACCGCGGCTCTGAGGTGTTCGAACCCTCGACTGCCCCCAGAGATTCGAATGGTCCGTACGTTGCTTTCGAGGGACGGAGTTTCGAGCTCATTTGCTGCAGGGATGCTCGACTCCGCGCAGTGTTTGCCTCGTCAACTTTTCACCGTGGCCGGGAGCTTAATCAGGCTGCTGCTGGGTCCGATGAGCGCGCGTTGGTTCCTTCTGTCCTTGCGCGGCGAAGAGATTCCATGACGCATCCTATGGCTGAATTGTGCGATGCTGTTGCATCCGCCCACCGCGATCCAGAGAACTCAAGGAACTCTTCGGCAAACCCAGCTCCCTCAGAGCATGGCTGAGCTACTCCTGTCGCGGATGAAGCGTTGGAAACACAGTGCTTGGGGCCCAGTAGTTTGTTTGTCAAGTGAGCTTGCCAACTGCTACGGCTCGTGATCTCGTCAGCGTCAATATTTTGACAGTACTTCGTAACTCCACTTTTCGCTTCCATGAGATCTCGGCAGGGCACCCTGGTGCCGGGCCGTGACTGGCGATTCGATTCGAAACAATTTGGAGCGCTTTGTTGTTGTACACCCGACCCCCCCGGCTCGCCCCCTCTCGCTCTTTTCGAGTTGGCCCCACCAAGACGTGGAGGATGAGATCTTGATGCCTGGGCCCTCTAAATAGGGGGTACGGGGTACTGCGTGCTATTGTGGTGTTTACCTGTGTTGCTCGTATTGCGCTTCACTCGGCGTGTCAAAACGAGGCATTCGACCAGAGCCGAGTTGTGCGATTCATGGAGGTGCGAGCGCGGGCCCTCAGCAGGGGCTCGGTCCTCGTCCGCGCCTTTTTCAAGTAGCTGCGGAGGCCACCTGGGCCGCCAGATCAGTGAAGTCATGTCTCTTCTTCCCTCTCCTCTACTTTCTTCTTCTCTCGCTTGCTGAATACAGCTGTGCAGAAGAACTCATGGCAAGGTAAAGAGAGAGGGAGCCATGTAGATACCGTGTTTATGCCCTCCTGTTCCTCCTCGTCCCGCGATTATTGCCATCGGCTCGCAGTACTTGGGGAGCTGCGACCCGCAGCCGTGTCAATCCATCGATCTGATTGTACATGTTGTCTTCTCCGTTGGCGCCAGACGGGTGCGCATGGTTGCAACTTCCATGGGGTTTTGAAGGGATCGTCTATGACAGCGAGCGTCAATGGCTTTTCCATGCATTGGAGGAGGTTTGCCGTATCACCATGGGCGCTGCTGTTTCTCATTTGCTCACGCATACCACTTGTTCACTTCGCCTCCGTGCCAGGGACACAGGAAGAAAGGTTTCCCCCCTATCCTTCCCTCTTCCTATCTCTTCCTTCCATGTCGTTTTGTTGCGCCCACCACTTCGCGCGCCTAGTCCAGAGAACTCCTCACTATCCTGCCCACCTCGACCGCCCTTCACATGCGCGGTCATGCACTCAAGGTGCACCCAATGAACCCGGCGCGACCCCAATCAGGGGAAAGCCTATTGCATGGGCGCATCGTTTGGCGTTGCTTGGCATTGCTTGGCCTTGTTTGGCATTGCTTGCATTGTTTGGCATTGCTTGGCATTGCTTGGCATTGCCTGGCGCTGCTTGACATTGCGTGGCATTGCTTTGCATGAGTTGGCATTGCTTCGCATTGATTGGCGTTGCTTGGCATTGGTTGGAATTGCTTGGCACTGGTTGACATTGCGTGGGATTGCTTTGCATGGGTTGGCATCGCTTTGCATTGATTGGCGTTGCTTTGCATTTCTTGGCATTGCTTTGCATTGCTTTGCATCGCTTGGCATTGCTTGGCATCGCTTGGCACTGGTTCGCATTGCGTGGCATTGCTTTGCATAGGTTGGCATTGCCTGGCATTGATTGGCAATGCCGGTGAACCCGGGAAACAAGAGCGGCGAACCCAAGAAACCAATTTAAATAACAAGACCAGGGAAACCGGGGAACCCGAGGAATCTCCGAGCAACGGGCAACGAAATAATCGGAGGCACCGAGGGCGAGGAACTTTGAGAATCCGAGGAAACTGGGGAACCTCCGAGCAACGGCCAACCTAAGAATCGGAGGCACCGAGGGCGAAGAACCCAGGGAACCCGAGGAACCCGATGAACCTCTGAGCAACGGCCAACCTAAGCATCCGAGGCACCAACCTTCAACCAAGTAAGAACCCGTTTAGGCAAGCCTAATTTGAGGAAACAGGTATTATCGCTGCTGGTGTAGTCACACAGCCCTGAAGCGTCCGTGTTAGCAGTGTGTCCCAGAGCCTGAGTGCACCCGCGATCGCCCTCGGCCTCTTCTGATTTTTCTGGGGGTGTCACGATCCGATATTCGCCGTGACGCTGGCAGGCTGCGGAGATGGCATCTGCTGGCGGTGCATGAAGAGGGCGCCCAAAGACTCTTTTGGACAGGCCGACCGTCGCCGCAAGAACAGGGGAGAAAGGGCGCCCAAGTGGACGGAGAAGGGGGCCAGGGAGACTGGTCAGACGGGGAAGCTGAGAGGAGAGGGACAGGAAGAGACGGCGAGAGAGAGAGAGAGCGAGGATGATTTCATAGGCAATGGACAGGGGATGGATCTGGAAGGAGAAGGCGCGGGGAGTCAACGGGAAGCAGGATGGGGAAGCGGAAGGTGTGAGGCAAAGACATAGGGGACGTAGGATTGGGAAGGAAGAAGACGAAGGAGCTGACATCTGAGGAGGTCGTAGACAAGACAATGTTCGTCCTACGTTTTGCTTCAGCACGTGCTGTAGGTACGATTGGGGTCTAAGTTCGTGCCTCTAGCAAGTGGAAGTATTCGCAGTGCATTCGAGCTGTCGCCGGGGTATCCAAGCGCTTGGGTTCACTATTACGGAGACGACGTTGTGGCATGCGTCTGGTTATGCGCCTGGCGCACCCCTCGTCTTCCTTCGCCTCCTGTCGCTACGCAGACATTCTGCCGCAGTGCCTGACGGCCAGTTTTCTAAGATGTCCTCCTCCTGGGGCTGCAGCCACGCGCATGATACAATAGCAGTCGTGCCCCCGTTGGCACAGCGTTCGGACAGCAGACGGACACACATTAACCGGCACCCGCGGGTTATCATTGGCCCCTCCCCTAACCCTTAAGAGTTGGTCAGGGAAGAGAGGCGGCAAGGCCGAATTTGTGCATCGTGGAAAAAAATTGCGAATCGAAGTTGGTCTCTTCTTATGTTGAATAGCGAGGTTCTTATGTTGAATAGCGAGGGTTCCTAAGGAGTCCATTTGATTTCCGCCAGAATCTGATGGGTGTCCTTGGAGATCCGATGGGTTTCCTATGGCTTCCTATGGAGTCCTGCACGAATCCGATGGATGTCCTCAGGAATCCGATGGTTTTCCTGTGGATTCCGAAGGCATCCTTATGGAATTCATGAAGAATCCTGTGCATTTCCTGGGGAATCTTCTGGATGCCCGAAGGATATATATATATATTTATATATATATATATATATATATATAAGTGGCACGTGTGTGCCCAGGCTCATACAACAAAAATGAAGGGGCGTTTGAAGCAGGAGTGAAATGCAACATCGAAGTCGCACTCGAGCGCAAGTGGGGTTGCCACACCTTGCGATGTGTGTACCAGGACCCCCCAGGAAGCCTCAGGAGGCCCGATTTGGATACCAGAAGAGGCTCCAGGAGGCCCCAGGATTGTGAGTGTTGTGCGTGTGTGTGTGTGTGATGTATGCTTTGTGTGGTGCGTGCTTTTTGTGTGTTGTAGGTGTTTTGTGTGTGTGTGTGTGTGTGTGTGTTATGTTTGTCTAGCGTGTGATGTGTTGGGCGTGATTTGTGCCTCTGTGTGCATGTAGTTCTGAAGCCCCAGGAGGCCCCAGGAAGCCCCAGGCGGCCTCAGGAGGCCCCAGGAGACCCCAGGAGGCTTCAGGAGGCCCCAAAAGGCCCCAGGAGGCCGCAGGAGGCCCCAGGAGGTTTCAGGAGACCCCCAGGAGGCTCCGAGGCGGGGTCTGGGGTGCCAGAAGGCTCAGAAAGCCCCAGGAAGCCCCAGGAGGTTCCAGGAGGCCCCCAGGAGGCTCCGAGGCGGGGTCTGGGGCTCGAGTTTGGAAGGATTTTTCAAGCGAAACCGCCATTCCCTGAGAATCGGGGTCACACTTATTGAAATTACAATGTGTTTTTGAAGGCTTTATGTTAAAAGGTTGAAACGCCCATGTGTTTTTGGACCCTGACGTCACGATCTGCGTGAGGGGTGCCACCGATTTTCAGAATTTCGAGGATGTCCCGAGCGAAACGCCCAGAACAGTCGCGGACGCGTGCGCACCAATCGCCTCTGAGCTCTACTCCCTCGGAGAGGTGCGTATGAGAATTTATATATATATATATATATATATGTGATCATCGGATTCCCGAAGGAATCGATAGGAATCTCTCAGGGATCCACATGGTTCCAGAGGACAGCTATAGGGTTCTGGAGGAAATCCGTGGGAGTCCTTCGGCAATTCATAGGATTCTTGAGGAAACCCAAGGATCCCCGAAGAAATCTGTAGGAATCCTTAGGACATCCATAGGATTCCGTATGACATCCATCGCATTCCTGGGAAAGCCGACGGATTCTGGCACAAATCCGTACGATTCTTTAGGCAATCAATCAGGTTCCGTAGGCCATCCATGTGATTCTTCGAGACACTAAACCATAATAATCCTTAGGATGCATGTTTGCAAACGGGATTTCTTAGTGCGCGTGTAGGTAGGGTCGTGAATATCCAATCCCCCCTTCGGGCCTCGGCGGGACAGAGGGGGTGGGACAGCGAGCAATGTGCCCAGAGCTGCGAGAGTAGAACCGGCAGCAGTTTGCTTTACATATATGGGCTCAAGTTTCTATCCAGGTGGCCTCCTCTCCCAGTCGTGCGCCGTCCCACCAGGCGGCCGTTCCAACCGCAAAGCTCTCGCGGTTCGCTGCACGCGTGCTGTGGGCCTCGCTGGCGCGGGAGGAGGCCCTGGAAAACTGGGTGGATTTCGCCGCCCAAAAGTTTTCAGATGGGACGAGCAGAGCTTCGAGGAAGCTGAGGGGGCGGAGTGCAAGGAGCCTTCTAGTGAGCAGGAGAGCGAGGTCTCCCCGCCGATGCCACCGCAACGATGGAGCACAGTGCACTACCGACCAAGGGTCGACGACAAGAAAGGCCTCGCCATGCTGCTAGTGAAAAGGTTCACGACGACGTCAGGCGAACGCCGCTGGGTGACCATCGACCCGACGGGCAGGCTCCAGGTCATCGACCTGGCAGCGACGGCGAAAGTTCGGTCCACCAAGTTCGCGGGCGTGGACCACGGCGCTTCCCCAGGCATGTCGGCTCGCGAGAAGGCCATGGCGGTGGAGGCGGCGGATCGAGTGATAGCACCGGGAGGCATGGCGACGTCTGCCACGATCACCCGCGACTTCAGTCGGAAGAGCCGGCCTGGTAAGAAGACCCATCGTCGTCACCTCGTGACGTGGCTGACGAAGATAGTGGGCAACGTCGTGGGCTGCGGGTGGGTTTGACGGAGCTTGGGAGGCTTCGCGGCATCTACCTTCGCGCGGCGGCGTGCGCGCGCCTACTTCAACGCTGTGGATTGGGCGAAGTGGGCGTGCAGCAGCGCCAACGAGACGGTGGAGACGGCGGAGGGCCTCAGGGAGGAGCACGAGCAGCCGGCGGAGATGCGCGAGTCGGGAGTGCTGGAGCCGCTGCACATGTCCTCGGGCACCATGTTCGTGATTGGCGCGACGGGCTCGCGCTGCCGCGGCCGGCGTTCGTGGCGCTCGGGTCGGACCGAGAAGATCGAGACAGGGTCCTCGTGGCAGTGAATTCTGCCATGGTCTGGGGGCCCTTCGCCAAGTTCCTCTGGTGCTTCGACGCCTCGCGACGAAGGCGTCGCGATGTCCGACGGCGAGGGGGGGGGGTCCGCGGGGCGCAGGACGATCAGGCAGCTGAGCGCAGTCGCGGACCAGCTGGCAGCGCTGGAGACCAAGAGCGCGGCTTCGCCATCAGTGGTGCCGACAGCGGTGGAGTCTTCGAGCAAGCCGTTGGGATCTGATCGACCAGTCTCTGAGCTGGGCGATCCCAGGCGGCATCCAGACAAAGGTCGCCCCCTCGATGGGCGCGAGGCCGCGCGGGAACGGGTCGACCGTCGCGTCGGCCACCCGCGAGATGATTCGCCTCAAGCAGTTGGGAGCAGCTGGGCGGCAACCACATGGCGGAGGAGATGCCGCCGATCGGCGCGATGATCGACATTTCCATGGTCGGGGCGCCAGCGGACTGGATCAATTACAAGACCGAGCTCGCCGCGCGGAGGATGCGCGGGTTCGAGCGGGCGTTCGAGAACGCGAGGCAGAGGGGCGTCTGGAAGCCCCCGAATGGCGCCGAGCTGGGGCGGATGGAAGTCGAGAGTCAACTACGCCGTGCTGGATGAGCTCGACGCAAGCAAGAGCGATCAGGAGGGCCTGCTCATCGACGGGGTGGAGAAGGAGCTTCGGGAGAGGCTGGTCCACCGCGCCCCGCTGGCAAAGTCCCTCGACAAGCTGGCCGACCACGAGAACGCGCCCCCCCCCCCCTCCCCCCCCCCCGAGAAATACGAGCAGCAAGCGACAGGAAACTAAAGTTCAGGCGCCGGGCCCAGGCCGGGCGCGCCCTTGCTGCTGCCGCGGCCTTGGCAGCAGCTCACTTCACCTACGTGCGCAGCAGCGTTATTTCTTGAACTTCTCATCGTGATGAGAGCGGAGTGCGAGTTCCCATCCGATGGTCGAATCAGGGGCCCGCCGGAGGTGCTGCCGCTCCTCGGCCTTCCCGAGCCCACGGCGTCGGCTTCGGGGCGATCGAGGTCTCGGACGGCCCAGGAGAGGGCGATCGGAGGCAGGGCGAACGCGGCTGCGATGTCCTTGACGGCGTCGACGACTGGTTGGCATGACCGACTTCGAGACGCGGCATGGGGCAGCGCGGAGGAGTGGGCGATGAGCCGCGAGCTGCCGCGGAGGATTTCCGACAGGGCGCCGCAGTGCCACCGAGAGGCCCGCAACCTGAAGATGCGCGCCTCCGACGCCGAGTCCGCTTTCGAGCGGCTGGCCTCGCGAGTAAAGACTGGGCCGCGCGCGGCCATAGTTGTCTCGATCGGCGACGAGGGAGCGCCAGAACGAGGGGAAGTCATGCTCGTCGCGAGCGGCGAAGCGTCTCTGCCACCAGCGGGGGCGGAGCCATGCGACATCGAGCCGGCATCGCCGATGGCCGGGCATTGCTGCGACAGGTTCCGCGAGAAGATGGCCCCGCCGCCGAGTCAGGTGGAAGAGGCGGACATCGAGAACGCACGCGCCTGCGCCGACCCGAGTTTACGTCGCAAGTCGGCGAGGCTGGACTTCGCTGCGAGGCTCTGGGAGTCTGGGATGCTGGGCTTCACCAGCGTCTGCACGTCGGAGGTGGCCGTGTTCTTCGCGATGGGGGAGGCGCGCGACGACGGGGGTTTCGCGTTGAGGCCTGCGCGGGACCTGAGGCGCGCGAGCATGCGCTTCCGAAAGCCCCCTCGCCTCTACCTCGGGTCACTCTAAAGGGGGTTGGGCAAAGGCGAGATGTAGCGCGCGTTTTTCCTCGGCCGTTTGCGCCCAAGCGTCCGGCCGCCAAGATATGACTGCGCCTCGTCGCGAGGTGCGCTGTTTGCCACGGAGACCGAAGAACATCTTCGCTTGACATGGCTCGTCGCCCCCGCGACTCTCTCCTGCTCTTGGGACTATCGTTACTACTGTGCAACAGAGTTGGACGTGGGCTTCGCCTTGGGCGAAGCATCTGGTGGGGCCCCCCGGCCAGCTTCAAACTCGGTAGCGGAGCTGTCCTGCGGGGGACAGCTATCGCTCTACTGCTCGCCATCCACGGCGCTATGTGGTTGACAACCGACATGGTGGAACATCAGGGCGCAGTGGCTCTGCGCGGAGGAATGTATATACATGCGCGCAATATCAAGGACGCTTGCAGCGATGCATCCGCCCACGCGGAGGTCTCCTACTTGAGTCCTTCCTCTTTGCGCTACTGCACTCCTGAAGTCCACCCACCTGCTCCAAGTGGCAATTTCTTCGAAGATACTATGCGCGGCAACGCGCGGTGCGACGTTGCGCCGCCTCCACCCCCACGCGCGCTGACGGCGGCGTCGCCGCGCGCGCGGCAGCAGCGCGCAACCGACTGCGACGTTCGGGGCCGCTGGATTGATATTATGTTTATTTGGCCTTCTATGGGTCGCCATCGGATGCGCCGTTGGGCGCGCGCAGCGCGGCGGAGACGACGCGCGCTGCCGGCCCCCACTGGGGCCCTGCCAGTAACGCACTTTTCCGCGAGTTCGTTTGCGAGGTACATGCCTGGATCAACGCGGCCGCAGGCACTGCGGCCCCCCCCCAGCGGGCCGTCGCTCTACAACGCGGTCTGCGAGAGCTCGCAAGGACCATGGCCGCGAGAGCCCCCCCCGCAGTAACTTGCTTCGGCGTTAATATCGGCGGTCGCCACTTCAGCGCTAAGTTCGAAAACCTGGAAGAGGAACGCCGACTCAACTCGGGAACGGCTCTCATTGGCTGTCGCGCCCATGCGGGGGAACGGATCGACCGGGTGCCAGGCGCTGGCCCACTTCGAAGTAGCGCGCTTCGACGCCGGCGCCGCGGGCTTCATCGTCATAAAATTCCAGATCCAAACAGGTATACGGTTTCGAGCTCTAGCTGTTGGCACATCGCGTGCGCAGCAACTACTACAACCATTGAACCACCAAGTGCCAAGGACTCAGCAACAGTTTGCCGCCTTACTAGAGCGCACGAGGGCTCGCGCCCATCTTGTTGAGCGAACCCCTGGCAGCATTGGTGGTGCATTCAGCCATTGCCACCGCGCTGGCGTCTTGCATGGCGACACTCATGCAGGGCAACCTGCCAACAACGTCTGGAATGACGATCCACAACCAAACGAGGCCACCATTCAATTAAGCCAACAAGATGGCCAGCCCACGGGGTCGCGAGACTCCTGGGCTCGATATCAGGGGCCGTCGGCAACGGCGGCCCCTGCCCAATCCACTGCCCTCGTAGGCTAGGCGGGGCAACCCGTGGAGTCCGAATTCGAGTCTGGCACCGACACTGATGCCTGCGCACCTCATTACTGAAGAGCAGCAGGCGCAGTGGATATTCCTAGGACACCAGATGCACAAGCGCCGATGGAGACGTTACATGCAGATGCCCGCCTGGAAAGCGCGACGCGCAGTCCGACGGGTGCTGAGGTTACAGGGCAAGGGTCCAGGCGAGGGCAAGCGACGGAGATCACACGGCAGAGGCGTGCTAACATTCTTGGCATCTTCTACGGGTTCACAGTATGAAGCGGTCTTTCTGGGGAAAGGTAGAAGCCGTAAACGCGCCTCAGGAAAAGGGGGGGGGGGGGGCGTCGGGGCAGCCCGAATGATGCTAGCGGTTGCACCATGGAGTGTGGCATCTGCCATAGTGCCCAGCATTCTCGTCGTGAGCGCCCCCGAGGCGATGGGAATGGCAGGGGGCCGTCTATGCGTTTGGCCCAAGCCGATTCCGACATTCAGCATGTCGACTGGGGGGCTCTTCTCGCCGAATCGAAAGACAGCCCCACAGCCGTCGCCCACTTCACGTCCGCGACGCATCTGAGCGCCAGGTTATTCCTCGAGAGGTGCGCCGACGAGCTCTTGGAGGAGATCTGCGTCGGCCACGATGAGATCGACCTTGCAGACTGGCCGGCATCCCTATCGCGGGGCAACCTGCGCGCGTAGAGTTCATCGAGGACCACCGCGCGCCCGCCGATTCGGATCACGAGATGGCGGGGGCACCTGCACATTCCGATGATATTATGTCAGCTGCGGAGGAGGAGCTCCAATTGGTGTTCCGACCGCAGGTGACCGGGAACCCCGCGCGCAGGGAAACTTGCGATGGCGGTTTTTCGCGGGGCAAGCCGCGTGACGCAGGTGACCTTTTCTGAGCGCGTTCAATGTGAACTCGGACGCAATGAAGGCTCTCACTTCATTTTTGCACGAAACGACAGGTATTCGAGCTGCCCGGTTTGGACACGCGCATGTCGAACTGATGATGGCGATGAAGAATGGGATGCCGAGTGCTATCAGCCATGCCACCATCGGCGGAGTCATCCGAGTAGGCGATCGAGCGCCCGCTAAGGCGGCGCGCAGCGCCCTCGTCCATTTGATCCGAGGTAATTGCCTCGGAGGGAACGTTCGCGGGGGAACCCGCATCAGGATGGCGAAAGCCCAGGTGGGCCGGTGGGCCCGATGGCCCGCGTCAACTCAGACTCGCCGGCGAACATAAAGCCGGGCTTGCCCGCCATAGTGCCAGACGAAGACATGGATTATTGGCTGGACAAGGGTTGCACCGAGCACCAACTCCGTCACTGGTGGTCATTGAATAATGCGAAGCGGGATGATCAAGGCAAGATCGTCCGCACCAATAGAAGAGGCGGCACCAAGACCGCTGCTACGTCGGAAAGGAAGGGCGCAAAAGGAGCCATCATCGCGGACCGGAAATAGCATCGAGGAAAGGTCCGTGGATGTTGCAGACCACAGGCCGAAGTGCCCGATGGGGCGCGCTTCAAGGAGCCCCAATTCCGAGCGGACCCCGTGGGTCTGGCCCCACGGGGGTGGCCTAGGACGCAGGGTGGACCCAACCTGTAATCCTAGAGAAGCACTTCTGACCAAGGATGACTACCAGCCGCTAGACGATCATCAGGCACAACGCGTTGAGTAAGAATAGACAGAACTCGATGCTAATCACCGACTTAAGCGGTACAACAGAGGATACCACGAGGCCACGCGTGAAGCACAAGTCGCCTCTTCTGCAGGGCAACCCGCCTCTTCCTCTCACGAAGGTGCCAACGAGTCTGCGGCGGACAAAAAGGACGAAACTTTTGGCCTCGCGCCAGCTGTTGATCCCACTTTACCTGCGTCTGGGTCGGAATATTCACATGCATTCTCCAGTTACGAAACCACTGATCCAGATTGGGCCATCACTGTGCCAATGGCGGAGGACATGGGCTTGGAAAAAAGGTACGTCAGTGGCGTATCATGCCAGAAGTGCTGGGTGGATAACTTCCATGGCACGAGGCAAGCTGCTCGATGGAAGATGCAATTTGGATTGTAAAAGTAAGGTCAATATTAACACACATGGCATTTTACAAACCCGCGGGGAAGCCTTCGCCACGCAGATCCTCGCGCAAGGTCGCGGGGAAACCGGCCAAGCCCGCTAGGGCGGGGAAGCCCGCCAGGAAAGCAGACGAGCTCCCGAAGCCCCCATAGCGCCCTGACAAGAAGCGCTCTGAGAAGGAAATAGATCTATCTCCATCATCGAGTGCCCCATCAGCAAGCGCGTCGAAATCACCTGGGTCGCCGACGAGAACCTGCTCGGTAGAGGCCGACCTGGGCGCAGAGACGCCGCAACGATCCGTTGGGAAACCTGCTCGTATATCGCGCTCCACGGGGCCAGCCGCGGCGGCCGCGGCGGCGGCGTTCCGGGGCAGCAGCGCGCCCGAGCCGAAGGAACCCGCTGCGCGACGCGTTCCCGCTCCTGGCAGGAGCCGCTGGGGAGCTCGCCGGCCGGCGTCGCCGGGTGGCGCAACCATGCATCGCGCCTCGCAGCCCGACGCGGAAGGGGCGGCACTCCAGACTGCATCCGAGGCGCCAGGGGTAGCTCCGAAGGTGAGCGGGTGTCAGTACTTTGGTATCAGCGAAAAGAGCAAGAAGCCATCTGGAAGTGCAAATTCGTCCGCAGCGCGCGCTGCTGCTTCGGCTTCTGCGGGGGCACCCGCTGCATCTGCGCGTGCATTTGCGGGGCAACCTGTTATTATCCTTGAAATAAGTGCCGGAAGCAAACGCTACTGGGGGACGCTGCCCCCCCCGACAGATAATTTTTGACCCGGCATGCAGGGCCTATGCTGACGATGGTTCGAGCCGATAAAGGGCAGTGCATTTCTCAACTGCACGCGCAGCAACGCGCGTGACAGAGAAAACCATCGAACGTCAGCGCGTCCGCAATCAGCTGCGGCAAGAGCCAGTCCTTAACTACAGCGGCGAAGTTGAAGCACTGTGGACGATGCTCTGGAACAAAAGCCACCATTCTATGAAGCTGCCGACACTGCTCGGGGTGGCTCACCGCAGCCACCCGGCACAAGCCATTCTACAAAGACGATATCTTGTCTCAACTGACGGAATGTGTTACCTCGTTCGACGTGTTCGACGGTTGGGCATGCTTCAGCGATTTGCTGGAAAATGGGTCACCAAAGAACTACGAATTTTATCATGATCATCACCTGGACGCCGTTAAGGAATGCCTCAGGGGTAGGCATTGGGCATGCCAGGCACTAGCTGTATTGAAAATATGTGAGATGGTCGACCACAATTCTGGCATGCAAAAGAACCGACTCCAGGTGAAGAAGCTCACGTTCTGCGGGGGCACCCGCCCGACTTACTGCCTGCGGCCCAGCAATGGGCAGTTCAGTCCAGGCATT